GGGTCGCGGCGCGGGTAGGACGGGGGGCCGATGGACCCCTCCCGCACCCGCCCGTACCGCTCCAGGGAGTTCTCGCGGGCGTGCCGTGGGCCACCTGCCGAGCCCTCCCCTAGCGCCCCGTCCCCCAGAAGACGCGCCGCCGCCGGCGTCGAGGACGAGCTCGACGAGGGGGCCTCCGGTCCTTTCCGCGCGCTGGACTTTTGGGCATCACTACGGCTGTCCCTGGAGTCGTCGGGCTGGACGGTGACCGGTAATAAAGCGACCTTTTGATTTTCTAAAACCCGCCGCGCGCGGAGAAGCGCCGCTCGCATCTGCGATGAGAGAAGGCGCTTCCCATAAGGGAAATAGTTCACATAGCAGTCATTAAAAACATAATAATCGAGCGGGAAAGGGTGCTCGGAAATTCGCTGCGTCCGCCACCATCGTAGCCGATCAACCACCTGCGCAGCAAGAGCTACGGAAGGCGGGTCGTGCATTTCGGCGGTCGCGGTCAAGGCTAAGGAGTGATCGCGCCTAAGAATGTCAGACCGAGAGAACCCTCTGGGTGCAGGGACGCGCAAGTTTGGAGAATCCATAAAAAGGAATTCCTTTGCCTAAAAAAAATAAAAGTTAGATTAAAATGTTTAATCCTTTTCCTGAATCTTGTTGGAAAAAAAAAGCGTCGTATCAGTAACTTCACTTGGGAAGTTAAAAAAATGGTGCAGATGGAAAGGGACCCTGAAATAATATCTGATGCTAATATAGAACAGGAAATGGTAAAATTAAGAAAGTTGGCCTCATAAAGAAAAAAAAGTCAAGGAAAGAAAGAACTTAGCACGCGGCTCAGGTTTAACTTGATTTAACAAGCTCCCTATTTGAATGTTTACCACAGGAAATCGAAAAGAGTAAGGAATCCCAACTCAGATTGTATTTCTATTGAGGTCGGCATCCTTAGCATGTTGCACATAAGTCCATTCTCCGATCGCTTTGCATCGGCATCCTCAATAAAATGTGCATCTAATAAGAGAAGCTAGTTAGAAGGTGGAATGTATATTGGTTTGCAAGGTTTGAAATTTTCTTTTGATTCTGGAAAATAAAAGAATCAAAAAAGGTGCATGTCAATGTAAGAAATATTTTGGATTATAAACTATGTGAATGGGAAAAAAAAAGCTCCAATAAGGAACAACGATTTTGAACTTAAAGGAAATAAATTGGGCCTATAATATATTGGATCTATTGTCCTGCTATTTTCCAGAATTCCTCGTTGTTTTTATTTGTTTGTTTGTTTGTTTTGAGGAGGGGAAGATGGAAGGATGGAATGTTTTTTCATCCAATCAAACAACCCCTGTTCAAAGAACTAAAACACCCATAAATTGGGGAATCACCTCTTCACAAAGTAAGGAATGAAAGGCTGTGCGGTCGTGTATGTTAACGTCAAACAGCTGATGGAATGGGCAAGGTTAAGAATGCGGGATCCAAAGAGTGGTTGGGGCAAGATCGTTTAAAACACACGCAAACTTCAATACAATAATTATATGGAAATCTATAAGATGGTCGTATTGAATTTTCTAGAAACGGTGAAAAAAAAATGTAGAAAAATAAATCAAGACAAACATTCATATTCTAATTGTGTGCAGCGATATTGAGTTGCTCACAGTAGGAACTGGCTTCTACAAATCATTTTTCCACTTTAAGTCCCCTTATGTGACTGTGATTAAGTAATTTTACTGCACTATAAATAGCGAAGATGGGGTCTTTTCTTTCAAGTAAACAGAATTTTAATTTATTTTAGACCTGTTTAAACCCTCTCTTTAAATCATTGTTTTAATTTTTCATTCGCCTTGCCGATCATTTTAAGACAAAACGAAAATGCGCTCGCCCGCCCTCCCTTCCTACCACCTCTATGTTGCTTCATTAATGCAAGCTTAGCGTACAAATGTGGGTAACTTTGCTAATTTCGCATACATATCAATAAATAAGTTTAACATTACTATTAGTATTATTTTGTTTGAACTGTTGTCTCTGGAGTTCTCTCTTACACCCTTTCTGAAGTCCAATATTTTTTTTTTGTATCATAGGTGATTGGCACTAAGCAAACCAAAAAAAACATATATACAAATATGAAATATCCTTATCAACACAAAAAAAAAACTATAGTTGATAATGTTTCCTTACTTTTTACTTCCCATTTTTTAAAAGGCCTCTTTAGAGTGAAATAAAGAGATGTCACCTCTCTCGAGGTCGACGTTTATTATTGGTTCAATCTTTTAGATGTGCACATAATAATTTGCATGTGGGGCAAGCGATCGGAAGCGGAACTGTTGCGACGGCGCTGGTAGCGGTTTCGATCCTTTAATTTTTCCCCCCATGGGCGCCCCCTTTCGCCTGCATCTCGCGCCGACGAACGATCTCGTACAAGCCCTCATCCATCCATTGCGGGATCAGCAATTTGATGATGTAATCGAGCGGCACCGGCGGGGTCAGCTTCGGCCCGGTTATGTTGTCGATCGCATTCAGGATCAAATACTCGGACAAGTCATCTCTGTTGGCGGCGGAAGGCAGCGCGGCGGCGATGGCCGGCGGGGGCGGCCGCCGCCAGGTCTTCCGCAGCGCGTAGAAGTAC